TACTTTGTGTCAGGGTGTAGGCCTATCAGAGGAAAACGAACAATTTTGATGGATCTTGAGGTACCCGAGTCGGTTCGAGTGTCAGCTACAGAGACCAAACCTCTAAACTCCTCTGCAGCATCGGGAGGGCAGAAAGTGAAGGCGGCATTTTCAGCGCTCTCATCGGGGGAGGTGGAGGAGGGGCTGTGAGCGGTGGAGACCTCTTCGGAGAGTGATGGCTCACGTGAGTATCCGATGCCGCCAACATTACGATCTGCACCTTCAAGGAGGAGGCGCAGGAGCTGCGGAGCGTCTTTTGACTTGCCGTCAACGGGAGACAGACCAGCTTCGCTGTACTTGGACAGTTCCAGGTTGTAGTCTGGAAGAGAAATGTGGACATACAATTTACAGTAGTTCAGCTTTTTAATCTCCTGAGAAATTAATTTCTATTCGCGGTATATATCAGTATAGTTAAGGTCTATAGGCGTAGACCGAAATCGTAAGCGTATATTTGGGTTGAAACCCAAACTGCGAAAACCCACTGCGAAATATCCACTTGCTGCCAACAGACAGACATTAGTAGTATAAATTGATGTTGTAACTTACGATACTAACAGCCTAGGTACTAGCTAAAAGGCCCAGATACGTGTTTCGCCGGTATTCTGCCACCTTCAAAAACCGATATATCAACCAAAAAGCAGACAGGGAAAGCTGGGGGACCCACTGATGATTCGGACCCCTGCAGCTGTGTCAAACAGCGGCAGAATACTGGCGAAACACGTGTCTGGACCTTTTAGCTAGTACCAAGGCTGGTAAGTTGCTACAGCAATTTACAGTAGATTGTATATCTGATGATATTTGAAGATCAAAATGTAAGTTGGGCGATTTAAGACCTATTTGGGGTTGTTCATTTTGTCCACTGAGTTGACTTGAGGCGCAAAATGTTGGTTACTAGAATAGATATCAGCTCAGATGAGTATACTGGGGGCAAATAAGGGCAGAGGGAGGCCAAATCCAATGCCTGTTAATATATCGAGGAATCTTCTGCGGACCAAACCTGCCTTCGGTTACAACGGCATCTTTAGGCGCAAAATGAACACTATCATTTTATAGAATAATGCTCCAGCTCACTGTTCAAAAGAGTTAAAAATTTTATCACACGTACATTTGTAATCTTATATTTTAGACAACAGGAAGCCTCTCCGCGTATGGCCTTGAATCTATTGTTATTCCTGCCAACAGTCCGAACTTAAATCCTATCGAAAAACTTTTTGCAATTATCAAAAGAAATTTACATAAAGCAAAGAAGAATCTTTCCATGCGTTAAAAACTGGAATTTATACTCAATAACCACATTGTAAAAACAACTATTGATATGTTAGTTGCGTCCTCGTCTGACAGAGTTAATACTATTTTAAATGTTAATGGAAACTATACAAAGTATACACATTTGATTTGTATTTATTCTGTATTAAATAGCCATTTTGCGCTCCCCCGCCTTTAGCACATTTATATTTAACATTGGCTGAAAGGATTTACATATATTTATTCCCCCTGTCCTGACAACAGTTTTATTTTTCTACCAACCCGCATTCTTCATTTACTGAATTACCATATAATTGTAAAGGCCTGATGAGAATTATCGAAAACAAACGTATCTTCGCCATTTCATATATTTATTCCCTCAATTTCGATTTTTTGCGAAAATTAACTATTTTTATGTTAGTAAATAATAACTTATTAACCAACCTACGTCTTTTTTAGTTATGGTACTTAATTAACTACATTACTAGTTGGGGGGAGGGGACACAGCGTGCGCTGATTTTTCGTAACATTAACTTTCTTGTCTATACCACGACATTTCATCAGACAAACAATCTACCGTATATGCGGCAGATAAATCACTGCTGTGTTGCTAACTAGTGTGCTAACTAGTACTAGTACATTTCAATAAGTCATTTTACCCAATTATTAAGAACTTGGCGCTGACTGTATGGAGTCTGCACCCCTAGAAGACCTCTGGACAGTTAAGGTGTTCGGTCCATCAATATTCCTAGTTGAGCAAACATTCTTTATTGGAATGACTGGAGTGGCTGTGCATTGATGAACTTCGGTCCGAAAATTTTGATGCCCCAGCGATAAGACAAAGTCCGCGGAAAAGCTATGCAGCACGAGTATGCATTCTACAGTACGCGCCAGAATTCGTGCAACATGCCGACATATGCGAAAGATTGATACTGATTATCGTGTAGTCTATACTGAAGTTATTTCAGTCATGATAGCTTCGTTCTGACCACTAACAAAACGTATACATCGTAAGAAGTGACTACTTAAGTTGTGTCCGTTTTTATTATTGATTTTGACTGCTTTTATGAATTTAAATATTGGCGAGCAAGCCCAAAAGCCTGATACCTTAACAGCAGAAAAGAAAGACGTCTTCATTAGAATGCCTTTCTCAGGCGATTCAGCAAGCGAGCTGGTCAGACGGCGTCTAAGAACCGCAATCGCAAGCGCTTTCCCCGCGGCGAATTTACGGGTGTTATTCACGAACTCTCCCCTCCTACAATTGGGAGGTAAACACCGACTCTAGTTGAAGGCCACATCCATGTGTATTTACTCTTTCACTTGCTCCTGTGGAGCAAGATACATAGGCCAAACAACGAGGCGCCTGGAAAACAGA